CCTTAATTGACTGAGCTACAACTGGGTAAATGGGTTGAAACCAAATATGTAGGTGGGTAAATACTGGTTTGGAAACACGGTTGTTGAATTATGGTACAAATTAACGGAGATTATGCACGAGGGATTAGCCGCATGGATGGCATTAAGTGCAGGTTTGCATACATATGTATGAGTTTGGATGAATGGAGTTAGGAGCTGCCTAAATAGGCCTATAGACCTTCTGTAGCTTCCCTTTTTTGTGTTGTAATGTCAACCTGTAGTACAAAGAACGTCGCTTTTCGCTCGTATGCGTTACATAAGGCCAAACATTGCCGTACTAGAAAATGGAAGCGGCTGGCGAAAGTAACGGTACTGTCCCGTTTTCTGTTTTGGTTCCTCTGGCAGGTTAGGAAGGGACACTAATTTAAATTGACCGTTTTCTTGACATTGGGAGACCTTAAGAGGACGGACTGCTAACGTTACCAGTTGAGCAATACGCAGCAACAGTATGTTAAGCTTATCACACAGGAATAAATAAATAGACAATTTGCGTGAGAAAGCGTGATTAGCGATGGAATTGGATAATTGTATAGGGGAAATTAAGGAGGAAATTGCTGAAACGCCCAGTTACGAGGCTTAATAACGATGGAAGAGCCATGGATTATTACTAGAGCCTTCACTACTTGTATAAATGTATAGAGCTGTATCGCCGGTTGTATATGTATACCACTGTATCACTACTTGTATACACATTCTGCTGTATCTCACTGTTTTAGTCTGTGTATGTTTCACCTCTAGAACGGCTGTATCTTACAGCCTTATCATAACACTTGTGTATTATACACTACTATTGTATATCATACACCACTTATATCATACTGTTACGTACATGTGTGTGTAATTAGCACCAGCATAAAAAAGTCGTAATTTCTTTTTGCTATCCCTGTCATCGTAAACAGTTTTGTAAGATATCTTTTTTGGGGGAGTTTTATCTCTTCTCTGTAATTTAAGGTTAATGTTGTCAAGTAACTGTGTCAGTTTGGCTACTAATTATACCAGTTTACCTTCAATTTAACAATTTTGTTGACGTTGAATGGAGTTAATGTTTTGTTGGCTGGAGGAGGGGGAAGTATGTTATGCTTTAAGACTTGACAATTTGCTCCTTTTCGGTTGTTGTTAGTGTTAAGACTTTTCATAAGAACATAAGAACATTTGTCGCCACTTTCTACGTTTAGACTTTGCATCTTTCTCGTCACTAATAATTGTAAGACTTAGCACTATGATGTTTTGTAGTTGTTGGCATTTAGACTTGTTATTGTTCAGTTGTTTGAGAAATAACTCCACTTCCATGGCATTATCCACCTTCAGAATTGAACCCCCATGCCATGCCAGTGCCAACCTGTGTTTGAAGTTCCTGAATCGTATTTGTAATAGGTAACTCTATTGTAATTGGTCTCGCTGTTTTGTTTTTGTATCAAACTCTAGCAAACCCAATTTGATGTTACCCAAATCATCCTAATGAAACCCAACCCAACTCAACCCAGACCTGACCTGACCTAGTATCAATTAATCCAGCCTAACCTAAGGATCTTTTAAGCATTTGGAAACGAGCTTTGTGTCAAAAGCCTGAAACAGTTTAGGGTGTATAGCGTTTACAACTCCTGGAAACAGGTTCTATACATGGATTTGTATTTTGTATGATGAGGTATTCTCTTGTTATTGTATAAAAGTATTGTTTTGTATGAGAATGAATATTATTATAGTACTCACTGCCTCCCTACTGCCTCGCTTGGCTCCTGCAGAGGGCACTGCCTCGCTTGGCTCCTGCAGAGGGCACTGCCTCGCTTGGCTCCTGCAGAGGGCACTGCCTCGCTTGGCTCCTGCAGAGGGCACTGCCTCGCCCGGCTCCTGCAGAGGGCACTGCCTCGCTTGGCTCCTGCAGAGGGCACTGCCTCGCCTGGCTCCTGCAGAGGGCACTGCCTCGCCTGGCTCCTGCAGAGGGCACTGCCTCGCTTGGCTCCTGCAGAGGGCACTGCCTCGCCCGGCTCCTGCAGAGGGCACTGCCTCGCTTGGCTCCTGCAGAGGGCACTGCCTCGCCTGGCTCCTGCAGAGGGCACTGCCTTGCTTGGCTCCTGCAGAGGGCACTGCCTCGCTTGGAACACCCTGGCACCTCGTATACAGAACCAGAGACCGTAAAATAACCGAGATTTTGACGCTCAGGCCATTTAACGTGACCTCATTGGCGACCATTGAACCTCTTATGTTGCAGCGGCGCCAGAAAAAGCCATTCATGAAAAAAAATGTATACAAATTTGTTATTATTATTATTATTATTATTATTATTATTATTATTATTATTATGAAAACAAATCATAAGATGATTTGATGTCATGAGACGATAAGATGTCTCTGACAAAAATCTAAATTAGGCAGTAACTTCCTAGAGGAATACTCATATTTTACTCATGGGGGGGAATACTCATTTTTACTCATGGGGGGGAATATACTCATATTTTACTCATGGGGGGGAATACTCATTTTTACTCATGGGGGGGAATACTCATATTTTACTCATGGGGGGGAATACTCATTTTTACTCATGGGGGGGAATACTCATTTTGATTCACGGGGAATATTAATTTTGACGCATGAGTGAATACTCGTATTATTTGGTATATATGGTACAGAGATCAACCCCCCCCCCCCCCCTCCCCCCCCCCCCCCCCCCCCCCCACACCAACCTCCACTCCACTCTCCCCCCCCCCCCCCCCCCCCCCCCCCCCCCCCCCCCCCACTTAGACACGTACAAGCCTTCCTGGTATTTTAGTGAAATTTCTCGAGCAAAATAGTTTCGTAAACGCATTGGCGGGTAGAACAAATTAGCATATAATGTTTCAAGCCACAAAGCGTCGACTTAATTAACTTCCCATTCACTAATTCTTCATTTATATTCAGATTTATTTAACTCCTGTATTTTGTTTTTTATATATTTTATTTTAAATAGGTTTTATTCTGTTCAATTCTAATTTTGTTTATTTCTTTAAATAATACTCTAATCTTTATAAAAAATGAATGCATGTTTTTTTTTTTAACTAATTATTAAATCCTTGTATAATTGGTTTTGTCATCCATGTGAAGAGATAGAGGTGTTCACCACTTATGGACACCAAACATACCTGATAAGACATCAAACACACCTGATAAGACATCAAACACACCTGATAAGACATCAAACATACCTGATAAGACATCAAACATACCTGATAAGACATCAAACACGCCTGATAAGACATCAAACATACCTGATAAGACATCAAACACACCTGATAAGACATCAAACATACCTGATAAGACATCAAACACACCTGATAAGACATCAAACATACCTGATAAGACACCAAACATACGTGATAAGACACCAAACATACGTGATAATACACCAAACATACCTGATAAGACACCAAACATACGTGATAATACACCAAACATACCTGATAGACACCAAACATACGTGATAATACACCAAACATACCTGATAGACACCAAACATACGTGATAATACACCAAACATACATGATAGACACCAAACACACCTGATAAGACACCAAACATACGTGATAAGACACCAAACATACCTGATTGACACCAAACATACATGATAAGACACCAAACATACCTGATAGACACCAAACACACCTGATAAGACACCAAACATACGTGATAAGACACCAAACATACCTGATTGACACCAAACATACATGATAAGACACCAAACATACCTGATAGACACCAAACACACCTGATAAGACACCAAACATACCTGATTGACACCAAACATATCTCATAAGACACCAAACACACCTGATAGACATCAAACACACCTGATAAGACACCAAACACACCTGATAGACACCAAACACACCTGATAAGACACCAAACACACCTGATAAGACACCAAACATACCTGATAGACACCAAACACACCTGATAGACACCAAACACACCTGATAGACATCAAACACACCTGATAAGACACCAAACACACCTGATAGACACCAAACACACCTGATAGACACCAAACATACCTGATAGACACCAAACACACCTGATAAGACATCAAACACACCTGATAAGACACCAAACACACCTGATAAGACATCAAACATACCTGATAAGACACCAAACATACCTGATAGACAACAAACACACCTGATAAGACACCAAACATACCTGATAGACACCAAACACACCTGATAGACATCAAACACACCTGATAAGACACCAAACATACCTGATAGACACCAAACACACACACTCAGGTTTTCTCCCCAGCCGCTAATCCCAACATCCTGCGGGCTCACCATAGCCCGTGCTGCTTGGAGCTTTGTTTCGGGTAGCGAATCTTTAACAACAACAACAACAACCCTAATCCCACGCCCCTCCCAGTTACAGCACCCCTTCCACGGCCAGGGACGGGAAATAAGGAAGCTTCAATTGAAGTATTGACATAATTATAAACGGCAATCAAATTCAAAGACACAAAGAGAGGATTCCAGATGTAATTTCACTCACAGAAACAAAACTGTCATTACGCGTAACAGCACGCAGGAAATTCCCTGCAAAAAAAAAAAAATACAGCTTCCGTAGTTGGTCAACCACTTGGGCTGGACGGTAGAGCGACGGTCTCGCTTCATGCAGGTCGGCGTTCAATCCCTCAGAGAACTGAAGAATCACAGATATAGCATTAACATATAAAGCTAATGACCAAATAGCGACACTTTTGGTAACTTCACCTGTAACCTGTGGCCAAAGCAAGTTTAAATATAGGAATAAACACAAATAATATAATAAAGGTACAACTAGCAAACTATTAAAACATTAATACATGCAAAATTATTATAGTTCTCACGGTTCTTTTGTACTATTTTAAAACCACCAAAATATACCATTGTTGTTTCACTGTAGAGGAAGGCTGGAACATCAGGGCTTAACAATGTGTATATTTTTCTGTTCGTAGAATGGATGAGGAGGAGGAAGGTGCGTGGCCCCTGACTTCCCTCCCTCACGAAGGTGCCAGCCTGGACCCCTCATCAGTGTCCCCTGAGGAAGAAGTGCCAACAATGCCACCAGAGGGCCTGAAATGCCTCGAGGACTTTTGGAACAGTCTGCCTCTTGATGGTAGGTTTCCAATGTAGTTGTAACAATAGAATTCGTAAGCCTGTGCTGCAGTGGTTTGAAGGGTGAGAATCGGTACCTGTGAGCTAAAGCTTATCCCCAGCCTGTATAATTAGGATAATACATATTCATACCCACTAGACCTTCAGGACCACGGGGGAGACATCTCCCGTCACGCAGGGTGCAGTCGCACCTCCACAGATCTCCAGTATCAGCTAATGATACTGGTAATGGCTCCAAAGGGCCACCACTTACGGGCTATTCATGCCCGTGCCACCTTTTGGGTGGCGTAATCTTCATCAATCAATCACCTTCAGGAGGTATGCATGCACCATGTACAGTAGCTACGAGGTGGAGTCCAAGAGCTAGGCATTGCTTGTCGATGGGATATAAGAACACATTCCTCCTCACAGTAAGAGGAGCGCCCCGAGAGTGGTGGTGTAACACTGTAAAAGTGTTTGGTTTAGGTTAATACATACATAGAGTACATGAGTCACAGACAAGGATCTGAGAGGCGCCAGTTGTCTGCCTGAGATCTCACACCTCAAAGCGTTAATGACCTCAAGTGACCTGAGGTCAGATCATGAGAATTTCACCTTGCTTCCGCTAAGCTCTTAATTGTAGTCTGGTAGCCTTCAAACAAGCCGACGTTTAAGGAGTGGCTTGGTAGTGCCGGAGGCTATCTATTTGTGGGCGGAGTTAGCTACTAGGTTCCCCAATATAAACTCGGAGAGCTATCCAGCAAGAAAAGGATTGACAGACAGAACAGCATCAAGAGAAGAGCAGACGAGAGCAGAGACGACGTCCCTATCAGGGAGGCTGTCGGCCGGCAAGGGCGGGAGTCTCTGTCAACTACAGACCCCCCCCCCTCTCTATTCAACTTAGACTCAGTCCTCGGTGAGTGAACATTAAGGTGACTTGGTCGTGTTTTACAAGTGTTGTGTGATGATCAGGGGCAGTCAAGTTGTAGGGTTCTCAGATTCTTGGAGGATGACTCACTTTAAATATTAAACTGGAACATTTTAATTGAATTGCTTAAGTTATTATACTTATCATGAAAAATATAATTGTTGAATTTATTATTTAAATGGTCTTTCACTGTGTTTCCTAGAGAGTTGAGTTGAGGTGAGAAAGCCTCCTCGGGGATTATTGGTTCCCTGATTTTAATGAGTACATGGTACAGAGGGAACATACTAATAATGAACTCATGATAACATCTTTTGAGAATTTTGTGATACAGGCAAGTTCCATTCCTTGTCTTGTATGTAATGATCATGAATGGATGGTGGCAGCATTTCGTCTTCTACTATCAACTCTTCTACTTCTACTATCTACTCTTCTACTTCTACCTATCTACACCTCTCCCTCCACCCCTCTCTCAACTCTCACTTTCAACTAATGACCATCCTCGCCCCTCCCACCTCCCTACCTCTCACCCCAAACCCTCACTAATTATTTCACTATTCATTTCTTTCCTTTCGTTTTCTCTTATACGTTTGTTTTAATGATTTCGTATTCTAGAGTTCTCTCTAGAGTTTCGGGTAGCTGATCCAGTTACGGCGCCTTGTAGTCTTAGCACCTAGGTAGTCAAATACCTAGGTTACAAGGTGTTGAACCAGAGAGGTTGCCTTAGGAACTCTGGAGGTGCTCTAGAATAGTTAGCTAACTGGGGACGGGATAACGGACTAGAGAGAGCTGTTTCCCCCGGCCTCGTTAGTTAACTGGGGGGTGGAATAATGGACAAGATAGAGCTATTTCCCCCACCCCCCGTTACAATGTTGGCAGCGGTGTTGAACAATGTTTAAGGTATTGGTGTTCTTTTAACATTGTTCAGTCCCACGTGTCTTTTTGCCGCTCAGGCGCTATCAGGGAGATCTTGACAGGTGTTTTACTTTCGCGAGTTAGCGAACTTTTTTCAGGTTAGGAGATAGTGATTCTCTGGTGTTGTGGTTTAGTGATTTTGTGAGTTTTGTGGTGTTCAGGGAATGTTCACCAGAACTTGCGTGTGTAGTGATTTATGTTAGTAATAAGATTTGGCGATTTGGGAACTTAGCGGTGTTGGTAGTGCAGGTCAGCTGAGTGTGACAGGTGACCTCGCATGTCCCACGGGGACACCCAGCCACCGCTGGTCTCCAGGTCAGTGGGGAGTGGCAGGTGTAGTTTTTAAGTAGTGGTTCTGCTCAGATTATTGCGATCGACTGTTTTACTCCATTTGAACGCAATAACCCGAGGTGTACTGGTATTGTACAGCATGCTAGTGTGGACTAGTATGTCAGTAGACTTCACGTTGGGGACGCTCGACGTTAGATAGTCTGGTCACAGGGGTGGCAACAGTTGGGAGTTGTTGACCGGCGGAGAAGCTAGGAAAACACTCTGGGTCACGTAGGTGGCTGTAGGTTAAGGGTGGGAGTAATGGATATTTAAGTACGTAAGATTAGGAACGGTATAGTTAAGTTAGGCTAGAGTTTTGTCTATTAGTTTTGATTTTTTTGTGTGACAAGTTAAAAGTAGTGATGACCTTATTCTCTCTTCTCTAACTTTCCTCTGTTACTGTCTTATGTTCCACCAAGTCAGTATCATTCAGTGTTAATTGGATTATTAAAATTGAAGTGTAGTTGTTGTCAGGAGGAGAGCGGTATGATAGGACTGTGTAACCCTATACAAACTACAGGGTCACACAAACATCTTGGGAACACGTATTGTCGCCTTTCTGTTCATTTCACAGGTGGGAGCCAGAAGAGAGGAGAGACGCACATACAGAAGAGGGAGACGGCTGCCTTATACCACACTCACGGCTGTTCCTCACCACCACGACGACCAGCCCCTACCTGGATGTCAGGGCCACCACCACCACCACCACCACCCCAGGGGACCCCAAGATGTAGCCCTCTCGGTCGGTCAACATTGGTCTACCCAGTGGACCCCAAGACGGACGGACCCCAGTGGACCCCAAGACGGACGGACCCCAGTGGACCCCAGGTCGTTCTGCAGACGACCCCAGACGACCCAGTAAAGATGGAAGAGGAACAACAACGACTCCAGTCTGTCCCACCAACATCGGTGTACCCAGGATGGACCCCAGGACGGACAGACCCCAATGGACCCCAGGTCGCTTGTCAAAGACCCATGGGAGGAGGAAGAGAGAAGAAAGAAGAGAGAAGAAGGAAGAGAGAAGAAGGAAGAGAGAAGAAGGAAGAGAGAAGAAAGAAGAGAGAAGAAAGAAGATAAGACAAGCTGAGTGAGACACGATACCTAGTGTCCCTTGCTGGTGTCAGCATCATTGCATGGAGCGTAATTGCAAGACAGGATCGTTTGCCTTGACTGGCCGCCCCTCCTACAAGCATGTTGCTCTGTTGAGTGATTCTTCCTGTGTCATGCGGACTTGATGTGGCTGTCAGAAGTAGCTCTCTGAAGGAGGCGTGCTGGAGCAACAGGGAGGAAGAAGAGTAGGATGGGATTTCTACTGTTGGCAACTATATGAAGGTCTCGAAACTTGTAGTCCCTATAGCTGTGAAGAACCCCAATATACGTCTCTCATGGTGACTGACGTAGGGCCAATTACAGATCAGCTGGGACAACCGAATTCCACGGTCCTGTGCTCAGTTCAAGTAGTAACGGCTTTCGGGTTGACCAAGTGTTGTTGTGCGTTAACGACGGAGAAGCGACGGAGGCAGTTGTGTTGAAGAAATGTGGTACAGGATTATCTACAAGACCAAGCAGTGACGTCGCCCAGCCAGAGACAATGGACGTCTGTCTATATATTTCATTTTTTTAGAGTAGGGTGATGTATATTTGTTTAGCTAGGATGTATTCTTTTCGTTAATAAAGTTGTCGCACACAGCTAGCTTGCTTTAGCAGTGTTGCAAAAACTTTATTTTCGGGGAGAAGGGGAGATGTAACACTGTAAAAGTGTTTGGTTTAGGTTAATACATACATAGAGTACATGAGTCACAGACAAGGATCTGAGAGGCGCCAGTTGTCTGCCTGAGATCTCACACCTCAAAGCGTTAATGACCTCAAGTGACCTGAGGTCAGATCATGAGAATTTCACCTTGCTTCCGCTAAGCTCTTAATTGTAGTCTGGTAGCCTTCAAACAAGCCGACGTTTAAGGAGTGGCTTGGTAGTGCCGGAGGCTATCTATTTGTGGGCGGAGTTAGCTACTAGGTTCCCCAATATAAACTCGGAGAGCTATCCAGCAAGAAAAGGATTGACAGACAGAACAGCATCAAGAGAAGAGCAGACGAGAGCAGAGACGACGTCCCTATCAGGGAGGCTGTCGGCCGGCAAGGGCGGGAGTCTCTGTCAACTACAGACCCCCCCCCTCTCTATTCAACTTAGACTCAGTCCTCGGTGAGTGAACATTAAGGTGACTTGGTCGTGTTTTACAAGTGTTGTGTGATGATCAGGGGCAGTCAAGTTGTAGGGTTCTCAGATTCTTGGAGGATGACTCACTTTAAATATTAAACTGGAACATTTTAATTGAATTGCTTAAGTTATTATACTTATCATGAAAAATATAATTGTTGAATTTATTATTTAAATGGTCTTTCACTGTGTTTCCTAGAGAGTTGAGTTGAGGTGAGAAAGCCTCCTCGGGGATTATTGGTTCCCTGATTTTAATGAGTACATGGTACAGAGGGAACATACTAATAATGAACTCATGATAACATCTTTTGAGAATTTTGTGATACAGGCAAGTTCCATTCCTTGTCTTGTATGTAATGATCATGAATGGATGGTGGCAGCATTTCGTCTTCTACTATCTACTCTTCTACGTCTACTATCTACTCTTCTACTTCTACCTATCTATTCCTCTCCCTCCACCCCTCTCTAAACTCTCACTTTCAACTAATGACCCTCCTCGCTCCTCCGACCTCTCTGCCTCTCACCCCAAACCCTCACTAATTACTTCACATTTCATTTCTTTCCTCTCGTTTTCTCTTATACGTTTGTGGCAATGATTCTGTATTCTAGAGTTCTCTCTAGAGTTTCGGGTAACTGA